CATAAAAGAATATCGTGATCAAGGGTGTCGAAGGCTTTGCTCAAGTCAATGAATATCCCTACGACATGTTTATTGCTTGCTAGAGACTTAGTAACGGAGTCTATGGATTTGTGTAAAGCATGGGTGGTAGAATGGCCTTTTCTAAATCCAAACTGTGAGTCTGTTAGTACACCTTTAGATGTGAAGAAATTATAGAGGCGTTTATAAATGACCTTCTCGAAGATCTTTCCAAATAAAGGTAATATTGATACAGGCCGATAATTTTCAATGCATTCCTTATTGTCTTTCTTGTAAATAGGAATAACTTTACCAGTTTTAAAAATACTTGGGAATGTACCACTTTGTATACATGTGTTGTAAAGCCTAGCCAAGGTACCAGCAATGAGCTTGGCCGGTTTTTTTACAACAACTATAGGTATGTCACTCGCCTTACCATTTTGAAAATCTCTGATCACCTCTATAATTTCTTCTTCATTAGTTTCTTCCAGGTATATGGAGTCAGATACCGAATTAGACATAAACTGAGCAAATGATTCTACTGGTTCCAGAGAAATACTATTGTTTGACAGTACATTTTTATTGAGATAAAGCCACGATCAAGCCACAAATTAGGTTCTATAATGATTTAATATTGTTGAATAAAGATATTTGAATATAATATTTGTTTTATTCTGAATATTTGTTTTATTCTGAAGAGATGTAAAATATTCACAGAATTTGTTAGCAATTATTCGTCTGCAAGTAACTCTCTGGCCATCTATAACAAAATCGTCCTTACATCTAGACAAATTTTTGCCACGGAGTTCATTTATAATTTCCCAAGTTTTTTTTGAGTTCATGCTGTACTTTTCGAATTTTTGAGTATAGCACATAGCCTTTGCCATCTTTATTAAGCTCTTGATAACCTTGTCGAATTCCTTGTAGTAGATGTGCTTGTTTGGATCCCCATCAGGTAGTTTTAATGTACAAGTCTTCTTCCATTCGAAATACAACCTAGCTTTCTTGTCGATGGAGTTAATGAGGCCCTGGGTGATCCAAGGGTTGGTTATGCTGTTACGTTTAGTGGTTCTAGGAGTTAGAAGTTTGCAAGACAAATCTATCTTTTCTTGAAATAACTGCACGAAAGAGTCAAATGTGTTACAGCTGTGGTGGAACCTATCTATATCGTTTTCTATTTCAAGACAGAGCTTCTCTAAGTTAGCATTACTATAGTCGTAGTGTATAGTAATTTTGTCTGATGAATCAGGTGTTGGCACAGAGTCAGGGGAAAGTTCAATAAGAGTGAATATAGGGTGATGGTGGGAGATCTTGTCAGATATCACACCAGAAGTAAGGGATTGATCTACGACATTGGTATGGATATTGTCAATACAGGTCCTGGAACAGCCAGGCATTTGGTGAGTTGGTACTGATATGGTTGGTATGAAGCCGTTGTTGAATATTATTTCTTGGAATTTGTCCTCTGATGGAGATGGGTCGTTCAAAATGTTAACATTGAAATCACCAAGAATATATACTTTTTTGCCATTCAGTTTTGAGAGAATACATTCATACGCTTTGTTGAACATCTCAAGTGATGCGTTTGGGGGACGGTATATAACCCCTACGACAGTTGGATCTTGCAAGCTAGTGATAGATACAAACAGTGATTCTATGTGTTCATTACAGAGAGATAAGTCAGTGATTTTGTTAAAGTTAAGGGAATCGTGTAGATAAAGACACACTCCTGACCCTTTACCCTTGAACTGGTTTTTCTCTTGGCAAAAGTAGCGTGATTGGTAACAGGAGGAGTATCCGTTAAGCTGATACAGAGTTCCATTTTCGGGATTAGTGTTTGTTTCTGCAAGGCCGATAACAGAGAATTTGTGGTCGATACAAGACAATTCAACTGCAAAGTTGTCAAAGTTTGATGCATTTCCTGTTAGAAACTTAATTCTATTTGTAGCTTGTTTTTGTACTTCATATTACTAACCCTGTATCTCACTTTAGCAAAGGTTTAGTTCCAGTGATTGTATATACAGTGTTGGGGTAAAGGGACTCCAGAAGGCAGACAAGGCTCGACTCCAGACTCTAGTTGAAGTAACAGAAGAGAGAGGAGTGTCCAGTGTTTAGTTGACTCCAGACTCTAGCGTAGCAGAAGGGAGAGGAGTGACGTTGTCGACTCCAGACTCTAGCGTAGCAGAAGGGAGAGGAGTGACGTTGTTTTAGTGATCCCATAGATTCCAGTCGACAGATACTATCTGTGTTCTGTGACGTGGAAAGAGTGGTAAGTAGTTTATAGTTATAGTTTAGTAGTTTAGTCTAGGAGTTCCCGCTTCCTCTTTCACTTTCATTTATAGTTTCACGTGGATTACCTTTCACTTTACTCACGGTAGTTTTCCCCCAGGGTTTTTGTTTTATAGTTATCAGTTCCAGTTTTACTTGAAGTCCTCATCATTCAGAAGTCCCTCATATAGTAAGAAGAACATCATCATCAGGAGTAGTAGTTTTAATTTAATAGTAGTTTAATCTAATAGTAAAAAAGACATTGTTTAGTTTAGTATTGAAATGTGTTTTAACTATTAGTCAGAGCAGAGTATTGTGAGTTACTGAGTCACACCATATCAATCATTCACTATTTAAGAGAGTACTTTGTAGAGTAACAAGGTTACTTTTGACACAAGATTTGTATAACCTCTTTATTCATCTAATTTGTATTTATAATAATTGAGTATTATTTGTTATTTAATTAACCCAAGAACAGGGTTCCAACAGTGGTAGCAGGAAGAACTACGTTACACCGGACCGTATTTATTTTTTGTATATTTTAACTAACACTTAACACCTAACAACTTAACACCTAACACTAGATTTCAGTTTTCATCATGGGAGGTGATAGAGTACCTGTTCTTGATGAGAAGTCCAACTATACAGATTGGAAACGGAGAGTTCAGTGGTGGAAGAAGGTGACTGCCGTCAAGCCTGAGGCAGGAGCAGCTGCATTAATCATGAATATGTCTGGAAAACCAGAAGCTGTGGCTATACAGCTAGATGTAGAAAAGTTATCCATAGATGGAGGAATAGATGTTCTCATTGCCGAGCTGGATAAGTTATATGAAAAAGACCAGACACAGTCAGTCTTTACATCCATTGACAGCTTCATGAACTACAGAAGACCCAAGGAAGTGCCCATGGAAGAGTATGTGAGAGAATTTAGCCATCGTTACAAGAGCCTTGTGCAGAAGCGTGGTGCTACTGTGGTATTTGAAGATGGGGTACTAGCGTACTTCTTATTACATCATGCTAATCTCTCGGACCATCAAAAGACGTTAATCAGGGCAACGGTCTCTAAGTTAAGCTACGAGAATATGGAATCCCAGCTTAAGAGAGCATACGGAGAAGATTATACTAATACATCTTCTTCTTCATCAAGCGCAAGCGGCGCAAGCGATGAAACATATTCCATCGGAAAACCAAAGATTAAAGAAGAGCCTGTAAATACTTATTTTCAACAGTACGACATCAACAATTCAGAACATTTTGGTGATGACCAGAGCAACCAGGAGGAAGACCCTCAGAAAGTTTTTTATCAACAAAGATACCACCAACACAGGGATTTTTATTCATCTAAGAGACCTTTCGGACAAAGACCCTTCGGACAAAGACCTGCGTTTCAAGGACAGAGTTCAGGAAACGTGTATCAACAAGCTCCATTTAGATCCAGACGAGGAGCACAAGCCCAACAATCAGGACCCTTACGTTGTCATATTTGTAAGGAAACAGACCATATGATGAGAGACTGTAAGTACAACACATTTGGAGAGAAGAAGCTTACATTCTTTGAGTCTGACTTTAAACTAAAAGATGAAAACAAGTGTATCACGTACCTTATGGGAGAAGCGACAAATAAAGCACTTTTAGATACAGGTGCTAGCTCCACAGTGTGTGGAAAGAAATGGCTGACAGTCTTCGAGGAATCTCTCACATCAGCTGAACATGAAGAGGTCAAAGTGACTCCTTGTGAGAAGAATTTTTGTTTCGGGGATGGAGATGCAGTTACAGCCAGGATACAAAAAGCACTCCCAGTAACAATATGTGGTCAGAAAGTAACTTTAAACGTGTTTATTGTGGAAAATGATATTCCTCTGTTACTGTCTAGAGAGTCCATGAAAAAGATGAAGATGAAGATCGATACTGAAACTGACAAAGTTTATGCTTTCGGAGGAGAAGAGAATCTAGTGATCACTAAGTCAGGACACATGATGATACCCATAGGACGATGTGAAAGTTCTATCAGCCAAACAGATTCTGGAAGAACTAATCATGCAACAGAAATTAAGGTCCGTCCTGTTTTAGAGGAGAAGATTACATCGCCATGGTCACTAAGTGACGATGAAAGTGATCAAGAGGAGGAGTTAGAAACATTCAGTGGAGCTGACAATGAGAGTGTGCAAGACAATGAGCCAGAAATTGAGCCAGATAGTGAGCTAGAGGACCATGGAGTTGTGAGCTCAGTTTCAGGTAATGTGGATCAAGACAGTGAGCCAGAAAGTGAGCCAGAAATTGAGACAGAAATTGAGCCAGATGACCATGGAACTGTAAGTTCAGTTTCAGGGAGTGTGAATCTGTCAGATCTGTCAGTGAATCAGTCGGATTGGGAAAGTGTGTGTCAAACCAGAACAGGCGTGGGTGTAAAGAAGAATGACATTATCAGGTTCAGATCCTCGGAGAGTGATGATTGGAATAATGCCTTGGTGATAGGTAGAGCCGGGAAACCTACAGGGAAGAACAAAAATCTTTACAATGTACGACTGGACGAGTCAAACGGTGAACCCGTATCAGTTGAGTTGGATAACTCTGTACAAGTGCAGAGGTTAAAGATTGTTCAGGATGTCTCACGAAGAGAGGTGCAGTTTTCAGCAAGCTCGCTTAAGTCATAGATCAAGGATACTGTGAATATGTCAGAGAGAGTATAACTGTTTTGGACTTTATGTTGTAGAAAGAGATTGAATATTTTTGCTCAAATTATTTGTTGTTTGAAATGTCAATTTGGTTAAACAATAACTTTTTAACGTCATTTGTAATAAACTTTTAACTTTAAAGGTGTGTGTATATATTAGTATTGTTAGAATTACCAACTTTGTAACGAGTCATTTTTACATTTTTAACCTTTCAGAGACTTTTAACATGCACGAGGTGTTTGTATTTAACAGATTTTAATTTTTTAAACATTTGTAACTCTTTACACGTATATTAATTTTGTGTTTTTATGTTCTAGAGAAGTTTCTCGAACAGAAGTTTTGGGAAGGATATTTTGACAATTTTTTGTCGTTAGTTCATATTTTTTACTGAGAATGTAGTAAGTTGGGAATGTTTGATGAAAAGTTAGTGAATCCCATTTTTAGGAACCAGTCTATCCTTTCTTTTCTTTTCTCTTACTGGTAACTGAACTTTGGTTGTATTTGCTAAATTTTCAACAATTTTGGGAGAAAGATAGATTAGTTAGCGAATTTAGACGTGTGTACCAGCTTTAGCGCTCCTTTTCTTTGTGTTGTAGCGCACGGTCACATTTGTCAGTTGATTTGCTAAATTTTCTATTACATGGTGTAGAGATAATAAGGATTAATAGATACAATTTAAAGTACATTTTGTACGTGACATGTGTAATAAAATTAACGCTAACAGAATATTTCAGGTTCCTACTTCTAAAAGTCTAACATTTCAGTTTCAAACTTACTTTTCAGAAAGACGATCCTTTCTTCTAAAAGAAATGAAAGTGTTTACCTGATATTACTTTATTAACTTGCATCTTCTGTAGGAAGTGTTAACAGGGGATGTTTGGTATTTTCTGTTGGGATGAGCTAGGAGCAGCTTGCTCAGCGTGAGTTTTTTGGTTTTATAAGAATGCTGTCGTTTCGATCAACATGCTATTACATGTTCTTCACTGATCCCGAGCCTTTAGGGACTCAGTTTGAACCTGTTTTTAAACGACAGAATTCATGTATTTTACGTTTTAGAACTGTTTAGTACAGTGGTGTGTGTCAATGATTTGTTAGTGACTCATTATTGACTCTCTAGAGGTTGTGTTTAAAGCTTGAATAGCTCCTAATATTTAGTTTTAGTACGCAGTTTTTCTGTCATTAAGATAACTCGATACAGAAATCTCTAAAGATCACACTTGATTACAGTGTTGGACGGGTATTTTTTGTGCACCTGTCAGTCCTAGAACGATGCTTCAATTCCGTTCATAGAAAAGAGATTTTCGTATTAAGAACTTTGATAGTTAATTAGCTAATAGTTAGACTGTATTAATTCTATCGGACGTTTTGTACAAGTATTATATCTCTCAGATCTCACGCTCAGCGTGGAAGGCAGTCATTTTAGCCACTAGCCTGTTTTACGGCGGATGTTTTTCCCGCGTTAACAGAGATTTAATCCACTTGTACCACGTGACTCGCCGAATATGGAATAATCGTTAACTGCTTTTTTAGTTATCTGCTTTTATGACAGTGGACATGACACGTATTAGATTTGCCTTTGTTTGAGCCGCGCATTTGTAGCTCAAACTCATAGAAAGTATCTTTTTCGTTTAGCGCGCACGACACGTTTTTGTGTTGCGTGTGGGGATTAGAATATTCTTAACTCTACGGTTTTTGCTAGAGTTTATTTCCTAATTTTAACTCGGATAGTCGGATAGTATTTTTTAACAAAGAAAGTATAGGGAGTTATGACTTTAAGATTGTAAAAGTCATGAGTTAAATTATTAGTAAGTACTTTTTCTTTTTTAAAGTAGGGGGAATGTTAGAAACTTAATTCTATTTGTAGCTTGTTTTTGTACTTCATATTACTAACCCTGTATCTCACTTTAGCAAAGGTTTAGTTCCAGTGATTGTATATACAGTGTTGGGGTAAAGGGACTCCAGAAGGCAGACAAGGCTCGACTCCAGACTCTAGTTGAAGTAACAGAAGAGAGAGGAGTGTCCAGTGTTTAGTTGACTCCAGACTCTAGCGTAGCAGAAGGGAGAGGAGTGACGTTGTCGACTCCAGACTCTAGCGTAGCAGAAGGGAGAGGAGTGACGTTGTTTTAGTGATCCCATAGATTCCAGTCGACAGATACTATCTGTGTTCTGTGACGTGGAAAGAGTGGTAAGTAGTTTATAGTTATAGTTTAGTAGTTTAGTCTAGGAGTTCCCGCTTCCTCTTTCACTTTCATTTATAGTTTCACGTGGATTACCTTTCACTTTACTCACGGTAGTTTTCCCCCAGGGTTTTTGTTTTATAGTTATCAGTTCCAGTTTTACTTGAAGTCCTCATCATTCAGAAGTCCCTCATATAGTAAGAAGAACATCATCATCAGGAGTAGTAGTTTTAATTTAATAGTAGTTTAATCTAATAGTAAAAAAGACATTGTTTAGTTTAGTATTGAAATGTGTTTTAACTATTAGTCAGAGCAGAGTATTGTGAGTTACTGAGTCACACCATATCAATCATTCACTATTTAAGAGAGTACTTTGTAGAGTAACAAGGTTACTTTTGACACAAGATTTGTATAACCTCTTTATTCATCTAATTTGTATTTATAATAATTGAGTATTATTTGTTATTTAATTAACCCAAGAACAGGGTTCCAACATTTCCATCAATATTTAGAAATAATTTTGACAAATATTTAGCTGAATTTTTAGGTAGGATGGTGGCATTCAACTCTGTTATTGAGAATGTTTTGCAATTTTCAAGAATCTTTGAGCTATTGTAGATAGATTCAATATAATTAACTGGCTCATCATCAATGAGGCCATTGTTTGCAAAGTGGGGAGCTTGGTAGAAAGGGTTATACCGAACGATATCATTGGCATCAGTGCATATTTTGCAGTATGTTGCATCTCGAAATTTGACTATGTTCTCATCAGTTTTGCATTTTTTGTGCATTATTTTGTCACACATCTGACAAGTTATGAATGGATGTCCACCATGCACAGGTCCTATTGCAGCAGCAGCAAATTTCGCATATTAGTTTGGCTATCATGACATAACTTTTGACACAATTTTAAAATTATAATTTAATTATTTTATATATATGTATTGTCCATAACTAGGGTGGCCTGCTAACAGAACCATGATCTGCCTTGATTCATCCTTCAGCACAGAGAAAAGCTCCTTTTTTTATACATTATGATTACAGAGGATCTGATATTTAGATATATATTGCTGTGCTGTAAAAATTGACTTTATTTATTTATTTTATTTATTTATAACTACGGATCTACGAGAACGTGGGGAAAATCTTTTTTGGGCCTTGGTAACATCACTGAACAACCTCCCATCAACGGGGTTACCTAGGATCTTATGTGCAATTGCCCGGGAGAGTTTAAAGATACCGCTTGACCCCAGGTGGATTGGGTCATCCGGCTTCTTGTATCTACAAAACTGCTTGTCCAGTAGACCCTCCTCATCAACAAAACTGTCAAAATCTAAAGTGCCTATTCTAGTATTAGTATTACAGTACCCAAATAATAAACTATTAAACTCCATGGCTCTGTCATTCAGCCAGGAGGACCTAGTTGGAAGGATGGGTGAGACAATAACTTTAGAATATGGACACATATCACAAATATTCTTGAGCTTCTTCGTCAGCTCATTAGCCCAATGTTTAACATCACCCCCTCCCCTCTTGATATTATTTATACCACAGTGTACTACAACGTTCTTGTATCCAACACAAAGAACAGGGTCTAACTGATCTATTGTGAAACATTCGATTCTTTTCCCAGGCAGCTTGTGTCCAAATGTTCCTTTTCCAGCCCCAAATTTGAGGAACCGGGTGTTTGAATCACCGACAATCAAGGTCGCATTGATGCTCCTGCTTACGTAGCGGAAGGTAATACTGTATCTTAAGTCCCTCTTTTCTGTGCTTTTATCAATTCGGTGGTCCCAAAGAAACTGGGACTGTTTGCTCATGACATAGAGACTACGTCCCTCTATTGTCTCTACGACCTCTCCTTCAAGCTGATCCTTTTTTGTGAATTTTACTGAGCAATCACCACCTAAGGATACTGTAAATATGGAACTATCATGGACCAGTGATTGCTCGTTATCAGAGTGCTTAGGAAGAAAACTGTTCCCATCAGTGTACCGATTTATCAAGCACTGATTGATTGTTGAACTAGGACATTCTTCCTTTATCTTGGAGACAAGCTCATTCAGAACATCAGGGAAGTCTGTCGATTTTGGTTTTTCAGCTTTAGCCCCGGGGTATTGATAAGGTTCGCCAAAGCTCAGAACCCCATGCCCATTTTCGGAGTTACTATTAAAGGCTTCCTTATGTTGGTCTAAGAAAACTAAAAGCTCAGAGTTCAATTTTTCATCTACAAATTCTGGGACATACGACAGAATATGCTTGGACTTAGGGTCGTCTACACTTGCATGCTTCTGTGCATCTAGGAGAAGCTGTTCTTGGTCCATTTCACATGGTGCAGGTGACCCTATATTAAAAGGAGGCATGGGCAGATCAGGGGTAGAAACATTTGATGACCTACTGTTTTTAAAACAGTTTATGTCAAGTTTGAGCTCAGCAAGCTTGCTGTTGATGGAGTCGAGAGTTCTGAGATGGCTATCGTTGTCTTTAAGGTTCTTGATGGACTTCTGAATGGCTTCTAGAGAATCTTGTAGAGATCTACCATCCGAGGTAGTGTGACCCATTGGCATGCTCAAGCTGCAGGGAGCTGACAAGTAGGAAGAGGACTTGACTTCGTTTTCACATCTCTGTCCACTTACTACAGCACAAACACTTTCAGCAAGACCTAGCAGGGATAGGAGACCTTCTGCTAAAGTTAGTTTGTTCAGGGATGAACAACTCTTGATCATGGCTGGTGTAATGATCGCAAACTTGTTTACTTCAAGTTTCAGGATACTGCAAATGTTAATCTTGATTAAGTCTACCTCTGAGCGTAGGTTCTGTGCGTGGGTTAACAGATAGGTGTCGAGGGGAGCAGATCTATTTGAGAAGAAACTAAGGAGACTGCTGACATTTTTGTCTTCTTCTGAGTCCTGATTTTCTGAATGAATTAGTTTATCGACATCTCTAAGCATTTCGTCAATATTGTCAATGACTGAAGCTGAGGAAGTGGTGGGTGTATCCTGATCGGGAACCGTAGTGGATGAAGTCTGGTCTGCAACAGGTTGAGGTTTCTCACACTTTTCTTGAGTGTCAGTGGGGGTTTCCATCATGGTGAAGAGGCAATGGGGGTACCAGGCAGACCAGGGGGCACCTTCACGTCCAACTAGCACACTCACTGAAAAGAAGGAAGAGCAGAAAGCAGTTTGAAATGTTCTGTTGTGGAAAACAATGAAAGTGTTAACTGGATTAGTCAAAATGATTCAAAAGATTGAAAAATTGAACAGACTGACGGACTACGACACATGGGACAAGAGAGTGAGTGAGTATGAAAAATATGAGGTGGTTGGACTGGCAAGCCCTATCATTTAATCAGAATACATTACATATAATCCATAAGCCATATATATATGTCAGCCTGTTCTTGGAGCACAGCCCCAAAAGTTATCAGAAGTGAAGTTCAAGTTTTAAGTTTAAAATTCTTTCAACACTATCTACACATTAATCAGGGTTGTCCAATTGTCCAATTGTGGATTGTGGTGTGAATGGAGTTATACATTGCCAAACAGAAACATTATCCACTACAACTACTTAACTTCTTAACAGGTTAAGAGTGCCAGTCTTCTGTGTCAGCACCCCCTGGACCATCATAGTACCCCCGATGCAGTTGACTTTAGCAAGCCATGGACATATTTATATTGGACATCCTCAAATTGTTTGTTATATAGTAGTGTTGAAAGTATTAAAACTCTCAAATATTAATTGTTGACGAGTCCAACTCGGCCGTCGGCGAGTCCAACTCTGTGCGCGTCTTGGTAGATTATAAACTTACATATAATATATAATATATAATATAATAGGTTATTAATAATAAAAACTGATTTAAGATCTTTGTGGTTGCTTAATCCGCGGCGCGCATTTGAAATATTCGTTTGCATTACAAAATAATTGATAATGCTGAGTCTTAGAATCGAGCGCTAGTTGCTCGATTCTTTCAGTTCGTAGCTATGCTTTTTAAATCCACCCTTGTTGATAAAAAATTTGTTTTAGTGTAAATCGATTAAAGTTTGAGTTTGCGTACACAAGTCGGTGGTGATGTTAAGGAGCCACAGTGGCCCAAGATAAACAATTGCATAATCTTAAGATCGATGGTAGACATGTTCACATGAAATTGACTTATCTCTGCTAGTTTCGGCCTTCTACGGCTATCCTCTCAAACTGTATTTCATTTATTGAGGTGATACTCCCTTGTGATATTTGTAATTATGTTAAGTGGATGACTGTTCAAAAGCGGATCGTCTCGAGATATGTCGTTCCACGTGTACACAATTACCATAATTGATAATACAAATAATTAATTAATGTTATTTTTATACAGCACCAAAAGGTTAAATATTTTAAATTAAACCTTCAATCTTAACATTATTTTCTGATTGAATTAAATTCCTACACTTGTTTTGCTTTCGTTGAGCTCGGATTCAGATGTGAAATCGTTTTTAGTCTCCATTTCTAAACGAGATTCTGGATACTTAACTCATTTATTGCTACCAGTTGTTCATTGAACTGGAAAGCGTCTGTTTGTGACCTCAGTAAACTATTTGGTACATTTTCTTATTATCCTTTCCGCAATGTGTAATAGAGTTGTGTAGTGTAACGCTGTCGTGGACGTTACATTTAAACTTAATAATTCACATACGGTATGGTATGGTACGGTCCAGTTGGAGATTAAGGGGGCCGGCAAAATTCTCTCGAAATTGATTTTATAGTTGTTTCTGATAGAAGGGAGTGACATATATCAGCTGCTTTTGGTCCCATGGAAAAATATTGTTCCTAGTCGAAATTATCGCCAGTAGTCAAAGGTGAGCGCTTAAATGTGTCATTGTATTGCGCAAGCGATTTTCACTCCCCTCTATCAGAAACAACTGTAAAATCAATTTCGAGAGAATGTTGATGAAGACCCCTCCGGCCCCCTTTAAAACGGCACCGACCGACCTCGAACTTAACCTATTAAAAATACCGCATACCATTGAACCCTCCTTGGTTATAACTGACACATTGTCATTAATTAACATTATTTATCTACCGCTGTAGATTTGATGTGGTTTGATTGATTTCGTACGAAACTACTTGATTAGTTGATTTCTTCCTTGTATCTGTTCTGTGTTTACAGACATTCTTTCTCAGGTTTCTACTTGTATTATCTTTTAAACTGCACATTTCATTTGTGTTAATTAAGTTCCATATTATTCAAATTGTTTGATTTTTCGTATGAGGTTTTTATGAATTGTCAAAATTCCGTTTTAACCAAGTGAATCACTTTAGGTCAAGTCCTCGTTTCGTGTCTGAAGACTTAAACATGCGTTACGTAGCTGCTTACCTGCTCGCCGCCTTGGGAGGAAATGCCAGTCCATCAGCTGATGAAATCAAGACCATCCTATCCAGTGTTGGAGTCGGTGTTGATGATGAAAAACTCGCCTTTGTCATGGCACAACTCGCCGGCAAGAGCATCGATGAGGTCGTAGCCAGTGGACTCGGCAAGTTGGCCTCTGTACCAAGTGGTGGTGGTGGTGCTGCTGCCAAATCTGGTGGCGCTGCTGCTGGTGATGCCCCTGCAGAGGTTGAGGAGGAGAAGGAGCCAGAACCAGACTCTGATGAGGAATCTGATGATGACATGGGATTCTCTCTCTTTGATTAGAAATTTCAGAATATATTTGTTTTGATCGGTTCTGTTTTATATTTATTTTAATTCACTGAAGGAGCAGTTTTATTACAAGTTGATTCAAAATGTGTCCAAAATATACTGTGCGAAATTCAAGTCCTGGTCCAATAATAACTCCGAAGCACCAAATGAACGATAAATTTCTTAAATCTAAATGGTAGATTGTCTTATATTCCTATTGGAAATCAGTCCTCAATGGGCAGTGAAGGTGTTCGTAATTCAGTCTCTGTATGATACCTCTGTAATATTTTGAAATTTAATGTCACCCACAGCCAGTCACCCTAACTAAAACTATTTGTTAGGTAAGTCCTCGTTTCGTGTCCAAAGACTTAAACATGCGTTACGTCGCTGCTTACCTGCTCGCCGCCTTGGGAGGAAATGCCAGTCCATCAGCTGATGAAATCAAGACCATCCTATCCAGTGTTGGAGTCGGTGTTGATGATGAAAAACTCGCCTTTGTCATGGCACAACTCGCCGGCAAGAGCATCGATGAGGTCGTAGCCAGTGGACTCGGCAAGTTGGCCTCTGTACCAAGTGGTGGTGGTGGTGCTGCTGCCAAATCTGGTGGCGCTGCTGCTGGTGATGCCCCTGCAGAGGTTGAGGAGGAGAAGGAGCCAGAACCAGACTCTGATGAGGAATCTGATGATGACATGGGATTCTCTCTCTTTGACTAAATCAGATTTACCCCAATTTTAAGTTAATTTTTACCCTTATTTAACAATTGTGTAGTTACTTCGAATATGCTGTCCACCTTGCCTCAAAATTTATCTTTTTGGGTCTTGTTAACTGTTTATATTATTTTCTTAAAGTTTACCGTTTTCAATGTACCCAAGCATGATAAATGAATAAATATTTTCAATAAGCTATGACTAATTATTGATTTATTATAGCAAGTACTTAGTACCTGACTCAAGATGATGGGAGAACCCGGTGAAGAAATGGAGGAAGGGAAAAAGCAAATAGAGGAAACAGGTTGGTTTAATTATTATTGATTTTTACCGTAACTTCATTCAGAACAATTTAATAACTGTCCATTTTAATGGAATATTTATAATAGAGTTCTATAGAGTTTCTGAAATTCACTTACAATTGCCTCTAAAAGGTCAACTTGGGGCCAGCATAAGGGCACGAATGTATACAAATAAAGAAAAATGTACTTATCACGTAAAGCAGTCTGTTTTTACAAAGTTTCAAACTTAAACAATTCACAAATACAATTTCCTCTGAATCAATGAGTGAGGTATTTCGCACATAAATTATTAAATTCATGGGTAACATTGATAATGCGATTCCTAATAAGGTCAATTAACAATTTAGAGGGATACATGATCCAGTTTTTTCTCGTCATGGAGTCCAAAACACGTTGATCTGTTTCCCCTTTTCCATGAGTCTTCAAATCTCACCACTTCAAGGTACCGCAAACCACCTGACATTAGACCTATCTGACGGTGTGTACCGGGGTAACCTCAGGTTAATGATCCTAGCAGGTATTGTGGTTACAACCTGGTTAAACCACACCCTAAACTTTCTCATTCTATAATAATACAGCACCGGATTAAGAGCCGCATTCACCACAACACTCTCCATCTTGGCTATATGCCAGGAATACCAGAACATGAATCGAGTACTGAAGTAAACCCCGGGGTACTTCACCCCAAAGAACCTTGTAGTCATGTTGTGCATTAGGTTGATAAAGAGGGGGATGTTACACACCAGGAAGAGGGTTGTGAACATTGCTATCGTTATACTGGCTCGATGCTTCCACTCCTGGATAGTAGTTCTAGGTTCACCAACACACGCGAGTCGTTCAGTGTTCAGTTTAAGGATGGTTACTAGCAGAGTTATGAAGGTTAGGATGGGTGGCAGTCCAACTAGGACTAGGTTCACAGCGTGCTCGAACTTCATCCTAAAGTTGTAGAAACAGTAAGCACCGTCCCAGGAGTACTTGAACTCTCCCCGGAGAGGTGTTATCACGTACTGAACTACCGGGATCAGGACCAGGATTATCACGTACCACACCACACTGTTCCTCACTGTTTTTATCCGGATTTTATTGAGAGGGTTCACTATTATGACAGTCCGGAATGTGCTGAGAAGCAGAACCAGGAATATGGACAGTTTCTGGAGGACAGTGTAGAGAGTTCCCCAGAGAGCACAGAACCAGTGTTCGCTGAACACCCCCGGTCTCCTTCCTCTGAACAGGGCTATAGCTACTGGTAGGTGTGCGATGGAGGTGATGCTGTCTATAATACAGATGATGGTATAGAGTAAGGCTACCCAATCCTTCTGAGTAGTGTAGGAGACTGAGGAGAAGAAGATGGCTCCCAAGATGTTGCCGGAGATACCGACCAGAGCACTGAGGAGTAGGAGGCAGCCGAATGAGTAGTCAAGGGCAGGGTAGGGAGTAGTTATACCAGTGTAGTTTGGGTAGGACTTGACATGTGAGTCATAAATATCCGTCATGTAGACTGCTCCTCCATGGGCCTCTGTCATGTTCATGATTTCTAAGCTAGGTTGGGTTTAGATTTTACAAACTTTTACCACCAGAGCTGAGTGTGCTGGTTAGCTCGAGAAGTTGTGATTGGGTAGTAATTTAATATAAATGTTTACAATTAAAGGCAGGTTATTGTGGCAAAAATCACAAAAATATTTGGCACTTTTCGGTTATGTCAGAAAATAACAGCAAATGTAGATCTCGTAAAAGGAGCAAAGCTTTAGCCACACTATACGCAGTAGTTAGCTTGGCTCAATATGTTGCAGAATATAGCGGTACAATTTACTACAATGATTTTAAGGTAGCGATGGTCCGACCGGCACACGACCTTTATTATTACCAAATTGTGGGAGATTATAATGACAATGGCCCAGGGACTATAACTACTGCTCCTGCTCAGCCACCGAATCAGTTGTTGTCACAATTCTCCGGTTAGAGGGTCCAGAATACAATATGTTAATAATAATCTATCATTAATCTAATATATAGTTATATCTACTATATTTTATATAATAATAATATGTACATATTAGATCATGATGAAGACATGAACTGAGAACATTTGGTTTCCATGAACTAAGATATAATAGGCATCAAAAACACGGCTAAAGCACAACCCCTTGTTAAGTATAAAGAAGCCTTGTGCAGCAATTCAATCGAATGTTCTGTCTTATTTGTACGTGAAACTACCGTGAAACGTGGTTTACAGAAACCATTTTAATACCAAACCCTAAGGACATTTATAGAGCTAAAGTGACGTCACGAATTCGATTGTTAGATTTTAAATTGAAACTGCACATGAATTTAACCCATGTAAGAGTAAAATGGTGACTCACAATTCGCAGTAAACGTACTAGCAGTAAAATTCAAAGCCCAACCATACAAGATTATTCGAACACTGAATAGGGTAGATACAGAGATTAAATATGTACAGGGTGGGCCAAAAGTCAGTGTGCAAACGTTGGCCTTAATAGCTCAGTCACTGAGTGCCTAATTGAAATACTTCCTTCTGGTATGACTTAGTACCACCACTGGTTCGAGGAATTTGTCAACTCGAAAAATATTCGCGTTCATTTTTTTCAAATGGAGGTTCATTTTCACATTTATTTGATAGTTTGGATAGTCGGATCAAGCTAAATGTTATTGAATTGTGTATATATAGTGATTAGTAGAGTAGTAGACACTTTCAGCTGTACTGTAATGAAGATAAGAAGCTTACTGCAATTTAATAGTTCATGTATTCTGAACCTCATGTGAATTAAATTATGAGCGCTAGTATCACTGGGATATCTGAACAAAGTGCCAGTAACAAAAAGCTGCAAATAAACAAAATCGTCATCAAACTTCTAAACACACGAAGACTCGCTAAGTCCTTACAACCTAACAAGTCTAAATATAATATGTATGGATCAGGTCTGTATGATTGGCCGCTGAAAACGTCACTCACCGCGTCAAATTCCTACCTTTGTACATTGTGCCTCTGAAGGATTACAGCGTAACATTCAATCTAGAATCTCCCACTAAGAGTCTCGGGGAAACGAGGCCGAAGAGACAAAGTTGTTAATGTTACTGAACCAATTTGGGACAAAGTCTCGTCTAGTGAGACAAAGTTGTTAATATTACTGAACCAATTTGGGATAAGTTTAGTGAGACAAAGTTGTTAATATTACTGAACCAATTTAGGATAAAGTCTAGTGAGAAACTACATACAGTCAGAAATAAGTCCGATCTACACCACATACACCTCTACATGTAGATGGGTATGTGGTGTACCCCTGTAGATCGGACTTAGTTCTGAAATCTGATTTAGTAGTAGTAGAGGAAGTTGTCTGCCACAAATGAGAGACAGATAATAAAATAGCCTAAGTTGCATTGGTTACTCTAGTTAAACTGTTATTAGAACGATCTTCCTTGCGAAGTAAAAATGAAATCACGCTATTAAATGGTCACTTTAGCCGGATACAAAACGAGACATGAAGGCTAGGGGATTGCTGACGCAATTTTTACTCAGTTTTAGTTTTGACTCAAAAATTTACAAAATTGGAACAATTTCAATGATCACAGTTATACGGAATTGTGAAAACCTCTTCAAGAGAAGCAGCTCAAGTTTGGAGGAATAAAAATTCTAAACTTTGGATCACCTCAAACCTTCATCAGAGGTCATGTGTGCTTGTCACTTTCACTAATATCACGCCCCAGATAGATATCTTCCGCTACCCTGACCCTTACTTCAGAACAGTCTTTCAGCTTCACCAGTCACCGGGCTACATTCTTCCTGCCTTTTCATTCAGGCGTCCTTACCTGTCTGTATGCCTCATCTCTCACCTATGATATTGCTCACTCTATATATCACTTGCAGAGTGATTTCTCGACTGCCAAATGGTGCACACAATATATACATATTATATTTATATATATATTATATATGCATATATAATATGTCCTCTCGGTGTTTTTTTGGAACAAAATGTGAAATGTACTGGGAACTTCAACGCATCATGAGAATGAAGGGTATTTGATTTTCTGCTTCGGTAAAATTTCTGTAGAGTTTCAAATGTGAAATTGGAGACATCGTTGAAATTGTCAAATTATAGCATTTTCTCCAGCGATCATTTCTTCCTTACGAACATGTGTGGTGGCAAATCTTTGGAACACGCGAATAATTGTGTTAGCGTCAGACGCGAGACGCTGTTCGCTCAGAAAGCGCCCGAATAATCAACAATTTCATTAACATTTTGCCGCGCCGCGCACGATTCATGCACCTAGCTGGCCTAGCTTAGCTGGAATTTCTGTAAATCGTACGTTTATTCATAGTCATAATTATTCAAGCTAGAGGGTATCCTCCAAGATCAGTTTGCCCCAACCCATATATTTTTGATACAAACAATTTTTGTCTAGAATACTTATTAAATACAGCTAATTATGGCAATGTTTTCAGAAGATACAGAAGACACTAAAGATGACAATGAGGCACAGAAGGTGAAAGGTGATTATTGTTAACATTTGGCTTTCCTTCTAAATTCAATTCAACTCAACTCTTGATATTCTCTGAATCCGATTATCTGCTCCAACTAACTCATAACTTTATTTCAGACGTTCCTCCCGAAAGATATTCAGCCAGGAGAACAGCTCACACCGGATATGAGCGCATATGAGATGCTGCACACGGTGAGTCTGAAGTTTATTTTCATGTCACGTGATTGTGCTGATAGTACACATCAAATGTCTAAGTTTTTAGTCAGCTCTTGTCCAGTTGGACTTCTGTTGTCGGGTAAATATTTCGAAATATATCGCTCAAAGCTGGTTCTTGTCTCCTTCAAGCATGAAAATCTACTGATTGTCTGAGAATGATCGCAGCTATTCCATATATGTTTGACGAACAGTCTTCAGTCTCTTGTTTGTAGCTAATCCCTTACCTTCCTCAGTTTCGTACCAGAGCCTCTTGCCTCTCATTTGACGTGTTACGTGACAGACTGGGTACCCGCACTGGCTACCCTGTCACCGCGTATATGGTGGCCGGCACTCAGGCTCAACAGGGAAATAAGAACTCTATTATCGTCATGAAGGCATCTAACTTAAACCCGCCAAAAGCTGAAGATGGTGAGATTTTGTTATAGTTTCAACTGTAATTCCAAAAGTAACACGGTTCAATTATGGGACTAAATAACACGATTCTTCTTCATGTTATGGTTGTAATGCTGTTCGATCATATCGGTTAAATTTTACTCTCGGCATATTGTAATTATTATAGCATTTAACGGATTCTCCAAAGCAGAAGAAGAGAAATCAGAAGACGAAGATGAAGATGAAGACGAACCATTAGATAAGGAGATATTGAAAACTGCTGAAATATACCACGCTGGTGCTGTGAACCGAGTCAGGGTAGGTTATAATCTCTTGTTATGACCAAACTTACAAGCAATAACGTGGAAGTGCTTAATTCCTCTGTCACAACTACAACTTAAGTACTGAAGTAAAACTGAAATAAAACTGCGTACTGAATTTCAAAAGGACTCTTCTATATTCTTCTGTATTGTCCTCTTATAATCCCCCATTTTACAGATCTGCCCCCACGTGACAGACACGCGGACGTTTGTTGCGTCCTGGTCAGAGAAAGGGAAGGTTCACATCTGGGACATAGCTCCTCAACTGTCTGCTTTAGAGACCGAGGTGGACTCCAAGGACGTGCAGAAGATCAAACCTCTTTATACTTTCGGGGGCCACGTTGAAGAAGGTTACGCGATGGACTGGTCCCCTACTAGACAAGGCTACCTCCTAACTGGAGACTGCACCAGACACATCCACATGTGGACGCCTCGGGAGTCTGACTGGATAGTCAGTCAGCAGACTTACAGTGCTCACGGCAGTAGTGTTGAGGACATACAGTGGAGTCCTAACGAAGAGCACGTGTTCTCCTCCTGCTCCACAGACAAGTCTATCCGAGTGTGGGACGACAGAGCCGCCGCTCACAAAGCTTGTATGATCACAGTTCCCAATGCTCACGAGAGTGATGTTAACGTTATCAACTGGAACAAATCGGAGCCCTTCCTTGTGTCTGGGGGAGATGATGGTGTTATTAAGATATGGGACCTCAGAAAACTCGACTCTCACGCCGCACTTTTCAAACATCACACAGGCCCAATAACGAGCGTGGAGTGGCACCCGAGTGACAGTTCAGTATTCGGAGCTAGTGGTGAAGACAACCAGGTCTCCCTCTGGGATCTCGGAGTTGAGAGTTCTGAAGCCCTTGTTATCAACGATACCGAGGTACTTTCTCTTTCACTTTGATTTGCTTTCTGTTGATGTTTGAAATTGGTATGCAGTCGCTGAAAGCCACAGATATCAAGAGAGGCCTTAAGAAACTGGTTTGGCACGCGTGTTTACAATTACATTATTCAAAACCTTTTTATCACATTGCAATATGACATTCAGTGGCTTATACAAGACCAACACAGCTCTGGACACTGCATATTCTCCCCAATTTTTAATAAACTCTTTGTATCAGAATTCAAACACAAGAAAATTATTTCTTACTTATTTCACTATATAGTTTACTTTTACCACTTGTAAGTGCCCTTCGGGGCAAGGCTGAGCATTATCAAACACATGGCCATTGAGCCAGGCTTGGGCACTGATTATAATAACGGCTGGTCATGATAACAAGGACCCTTGAGGTCAGATCGAATTACAGATAAGTTAGTAATACAAGTTCATAAAAATAGGGGAGTACTCTCCCCACTTTTATGATTATCGAGCTCCCTTTTTAAGTTCAATTTAGTAACTGATCAATGTAAAGGGGTCGTTAGATATATTAAAAACCATTAAAAAATAGTGAATGAAAACGCTTGCCAGACGCTGCCTGGCCTGTCATCTCGTCGTAGCCGGGCCGGTGGAGGGGGTGCAGGCGACTGGCGAAGCTGTATAAAAAACCGCTGAATAAAAGGTCCCCTTTTCTGGTTGAATTTCGATTAAGCATAATACGACATAATTTGTTTTGATTGAAAAATATTAATACCGTTCTATTTCAGGTTCCACCCCAGCTCCTTTTCATTCACCAAGGACAAGAGGAGATCAAAGAATTGCACTGGCATCCGCACATCGAAGGAGTACTAATCACGACATCTCTTGACAATTTTAACATTTTCAAGACCATATCTGTTTGAGAATTTGAGAGTTGAAAACACGTCGTGTGTCTATGGATTTCAGTGGAACTTGTATCTGACCAAATCGAAAGATCTGTAATTTATTGAGAAAAGAACTAAATTTTCACATTTTTTTGAACCTGTATAATTTAAGATTCTTTTAAAATGATTTTAATCCGAATTCAAGATTCTTTATTTTTCCAAATCTTGAACTATGCAGTTTATACAGGCATGTACATTTGAAGTTGAGGTTATCGGTACAACTTCAAATATTAGTAACTCACAAAAACTAAAAGGCACGCTGTAGTTTGTAGGTTTATAACCTACCAGGACGCGCGCCTTGTTGGACTCGTCGACGGTACCAATATATGGTACAGATATTTTACGAGTATCACCCGTTAAGCTGTAGTTAACATTTTCACACTATGAAACTCTGTAAACCCTCAATAGTTCCGGCAGAGAAACTATAAGGCTCATGGTAGTCGGGTGCCGCGCGGACTTATCGCTCGGTCGATCGAGCGATAAGTAGCTCCTTATCGCTCGTGCGCGTCGTCACTTCAAGCACAATTGCGCGTCGTATCGTACTCGATGCTTGCCAAAGAGCTTTAATACTTTGGTTTTGGCGTGTTACATCTGAAGTCCAGAAGATGAATCCGAGATTGTGGAACCAGATGATACGGTTTTTGAGGCATTTTGATACGGTCATTTCAGTCTTTAAAGTAGTTTCAGAGCGCTGGAAATGATTGTACGCTGTAGGGGGATGTGTTTACTAACTATTTGACGTCAAAATAGTCGCCCAAGACTCCCTGAGTCATGGAATGAACGGAATGAACAAAAATGAAATTTTTTCTAAAACTCGTCGGATTGCCCCAAAACAGGTCGGAATCGTTTGGTATTGACCCTTATAGTGTTCCTACAAAGTTTGGTGGCCCTAGCACTCCCAGAACGCCCACTAAAGACTTAATTCCATTTCCGTATCAAAAAGCTGGTTTCTGAGTATCCGATATTGATACGGTCATTTCAGTCTGTTAAAGGGGCTGCAGAGTGCTGGAGATGATTGTACGGTGTAGGGGGATGTGTTTACTAACTATTTTGACGTCAAAATAGTCGCCCAAGACTCCCTGAGTCATGGAATGAACGGAATGAACAAAAATGAAATTTTTTCTAAAACTCGTCGGATTGCCCCAAAACAGGTCGGAATCGTTTGGTATTGACCCTTATAGTGTTCCTACAAAGTTTGGTGGCCCTAGCACTCCCAGAACGCCCACTAGAGACTTAATTCCATTTCCGTATCAAAAAGCTGGTTTCTGAGTATCCGATATTGATACGGTCATTTCAGTCTGTTAAAGGGGCTGCAGAGTGCTGGAGATGATTGTACGGTGTAGGGGGATGTGTTTACTAACTATTTTGACGTCAAAATAGTCGCCCAAGACTCCCTGAGTCATGGAATGAACGGAATGAACAAAAATGAAATTTTTTCTAAAACTCGTCGGATTGCCCCAAAACAGGTCGGAATCGTTTGGTATTGACCCTTATAGTGTTCCTACAAAGTTTGGTGGCCCTAGCACTCCCAGAACGCCCACTAGAGACTTAATTCCATTTCCGTATCAAAAAGCTGGTTTCTGAGTATCCGATATTGATACGGTCATTTCAGTCTGTTAAAGGGGCTGCAGAGTGCTGGAGATGATTGTACGGTGTAGGGGGATGTGTTTACTAACTATTTTGACGTCAAAATAGTCGCCCAAGACTCCCTGAGTCATGGAATGAACGGAATGAACAAAAATGAAATTTTTTCTAAAACTCGTCGGATTGCCCCAAAACAGGTCGGAATCGTTTGGTATTGACCCTTATAGTGTTCCTACAAAGTTTGGTGGCCCTAGCACTCCCAGAACGCCCACTAGAGACTTAATTCCATTTCCGTATCAAAAAGCTGGTTCCTGAGTATCCGATATTGATACAGTGGCGTAACGAAAGGCCCTGCTGACCCCGCTGTGCAGGGGGGCGCCGTCTTAGGGGGGCGCCAAATCGTCGTTTGAATGTGGGACAATTTCGAAAACTTAACTAAAGTACTAGCAAAACTGCGCGTTTTGCTCTAGATACACACTTTTTTAGAGATTTTACCGGCATATTCTTTAAAATCACCTAATTTGTTCAATTTTAGGGAGGGGCACCAAAAGGGGAGGGGGCGCCAACAGGGGGGCGCTTTTTTCGGCAGGGGGCGCCAACAGGCAACGTTACGCCACTGTATTGATACGGTCATTTCAGTCTGTTAAAGGGGCTGCAGAGTGCTGGAGATGATTGTACGGTGTAGGGGATGTGTTTACTAACTATTTTGACGTCAAAATAGTCGCCCAAGACTCCCTGAGTCATGGAATGAACGAAATGAACAAATATGAACATTTTTCTAAAACTCGTCGGATGGCCCCAAAACAGGTAGGAATCGTTTGGTATTGACCCTAATAGTGTTCCCACAAAGTTTGGTGGCCCTAGCACTCCCAGAACACCCATTATACCCTTGGCTGGATTCAAGAATTTAGAACCAGTTGAGCAGATAAAACGGATTTTGAGAAATTTTGTCTGCTTGTGTTGTTGCAGAGAGTTGAATTTGGTTCAACAGTATTCAAACAAGATGTGTTCCAACTTAGTTTTGTAGCCCTACCAGTTTCAGAACGTCCACTAGAATCCGGTTCCATTTTCTTCCAAGAAGCTGTAGACAAGGTTGTTTGAAATTTAAATTTAACCTCTCTGGTAATACAACTTTTTACTTGGATGGATTTCAATAATTAAAGAGAGCAGATTGTTACTTTGTTATTTTTGAGATTTGATTTTTTGATATCATATGTATAAATGTATAAATCAGTTTCTACAAATTGTAACAGCAATTGGCAGTAATAAAGCGGTAGTAATAGTTTTGCACAACATCAATCATAATATCATTCAATACTTCAATACCTTCAAAATAATTTAACTCGGTTATAATAATTTAAACGCAGATCTAAAAGAACTAAGCACAGTAGTAGGATGAACTTCCAGGCAAGGTTGGAGGAAGGTAGAGGTGAAGCTGTGGGTAAGGATAGTAGGCTGGGAAGGATCCATTTCTGATCCAGAGCTGATGATTTGGGTTGAACTGATGATTTAGGTGGTACAGATGATTTGGGTTGAGCTGATGATTTGGGTTGAGTTGATGATTTGGGTTGAACTGATGATTTGGGTTGAGCTGATGATTTTGGTTGAGCTGAAGATTTGGGTTGAGCTGATGATTTGGGTTGAACTGATGATTTGGGTTGAGCTGATGATTTGGGTTGAACTGATGATTTGGGTTGAGCTGATGATTTGGGTTGAACTGATGATTTGGGTTGAGCTGATGATTTGGGTAGAACTGATGACTTGGGTTGGGCTGATGATTTGGGTTGAACTGATGATTTAGGTGGTACAGATGATTTGGGTTGAGCTGATGATTTGGGTTGAGTTGATGATTTGGGTTGAACTGATGATTTGGGTTGAGCTGATGATTTTGGTTGAGCTGAAGATTTGGGTTGAGCTGATGATTTGGGTTGAGCTGATGATTTGGGTTGAGCTGATGATTTGGGTTGAGCTGATGATTTGGGTGGTACAGATGAGTTGGGTGGTACAGATGAGTTGGGTGGTACAGATGAGTTGGGTGGTACAGATGAGTTGGGTGGTACAGATGAGTTGGGTGGTACAGATGAGTTGGGTGGTACAGATGATTTGGATGAGGGACGAGAGGAAGACAGTTCCTTAATACAATCTAGACTATGTTTGGAAATAGATGGATCAATCTTTACATAATCAGAAAACTTAGGCAAATCTATATCTGAACGTTTCAACTTCTTACTCTTAAACTTAGGTGCTTGCTCGAAATCCTCGTCTGAGTCGACAGAGGGTTTGACTGAATGTTTACGTGACTGGTTATCTAACTTGGCACCTAGTTCCTTCCTATTCTGGAGTACCTGTTCGGCAGAACAAATCATAACAGAGCACGACTTGTCTGCCCGAACTTCCTCAACAGAATGAAACAACTGGTCAGAGTATCTAACTAAAATCTTAGAACTTATGGAGGTGTGGAAACTTGCAACTATTCCATCTAATACTTTCTGGCTCTCCAAGAGATTAAACTTAAGAGACCTATCAGTTATTATGCAGCTATATAAATTTAAGAGAGCCTCTACAGAGCCATCCTTATCTAGTGAGCAGTGGTCAGAACATTAATATACATCTAAAGTGTGCTTACAGGGGAAAAAGTGCTTAAAGAACTGTTGCAACTTATCAGATAAAGGAAACATGAGCTCAACTAAGGAACTACAAAACCATCTAACGTGGGGTATCTTAGGACCTGACTTAAGATCAGAAATGAACACATAAGAACCACACTCTAACCGCAGTACTACAGAGGAGCACACGGTCAGGGGGTCAGAATAAGCATGTGATAAAGGAGGCAAAGCATCCTGCATATTATGATAATATACACCTAAAGATGAATCGAACTTGTGGGAGTCACGAATGAGCTCAACCACGGCATTTACCTGAGATGTATCCATAAGGAGTAGTCGTGTTGACTGAGTTAGCTGTAAAAAACAGCCAATAAGTAAAACTCAGATAGGGAGAAGTGTAGTCAAAGAACTGGTTGTAGGAAACAACACAGTCCAGATAGGAGTAGGAAGGGAGGACTCAGAACTAGTTGTAGAAAACAACGTAGTTTAGAGTAAAGTAGGCAAAGAAGACAGGCACGTAGCGTAAACTACAAAATAAAAATGTGTATTTGAAAGATAGTAGGCAAAGAAGACAGGCACATAGCGTAAACTACAAAATAAAAATGTGTATTTGAAAGATAGAGCTTAAAGTTGAAATGTCAAAAGATTGTACTCAGTGTGTGAAATAGTAAACTGAAACCGGGTGAGCTATATTTCACGAGGGTATTTATACCTGCTTCATCGTGACAGGGATAACGAGCCAATTGTTTACAAACAAGCAGCAAGCATGTGAATCCTTCTTGATAAGGTTCAGATCACGTTTGATCGCATGCAGGGTTCTTGTCTCCGATAGATCAGATCATTGTCTTCTAAGAAGATCATATCCTCGTTCTTGCCCCCTCTGGCTCCAGTGGATCTCATCATTACTCGATAAGCATCGGATCAAATGATTGCCTCAAAAACCGTATCA